TGTTTGACCTTTATCCCTTTGGACCGGTGACAGTTGGTGGGGAAGTGGGTTGGGACAGGAGGGCTAGGCCTTCAGGATGCCTGGGGTTTTTGTTTTAGATTCCAAAATTTCTTTTATTTATGCATACGGTGTGTATGTGAGCACCTGTGTCAGTTAATGATGGGGGTGGTGGCTCATGACATTAATAATCCCAGGACCTGGCGGGCAGATGCAGGCAGATCTCTGCGAGTTCAAGGACAGCCTGGTCTACATAAGTTCCAGGATAATCAGGACTAGATAGAGAGACCCACTCTCTGTGTCCTCAGAAAACCAAAATAAAATAAAATAAAATTTTAATTTAATTTAATTTACATATGTGTGCACGCCTATGTGATTTTGTGTACCACGCACATGCAAGATCCCCTGGAGCTAGAATTACAGACAGCTGTGAGCTGAGACCCAGCTCTGTTCTGTTCTCTGCAAGAACACTGAGTGCTCTTAGCTATTGAGCCATCGCGCCAGTTTCATTATGTTCTCCCTCTCTTTCTCCCTCCACCTCTGAAAGAGAGAGAGAGAAAGAGAGTGTTGTTCTGTCACCCTAGCTGGTCTGGTATTTGCCTATGTAGCCCAGGGTGACCTTGACTCAAGGCAATCCCGTTTTAGCCCACTAGGTGCCAGCATTACAGGTGAGAATCACCATGTCTGGCTCTCCCAGAAGTTTGTACCAAATATTTTAGGCTTTGATAAACAGAACGGGTTTTGGTTTTGTTTTGTTGGCTTTTTGAGACAGAGTTTCTCCTCTGTGTACCCCTGGCTGTCCTGGAACTCACTCTGTAAACCGAGCTGGCCTCGAACTCACAGAGATCTTTCTGCTTCCTCTGCCTCCCGAATGCTGGGGTTAAAGGTGTGCGCCACCACCGCCTGGCTGATGAACAGAATTTTGAGCAGAGGTTTCTGAGATACTGTTCAGGAGACACCCCAGGAATGGCACACACGGGGAATGGACACGTTTGCACGGGCTTGGGGGCTTTTCCAAGTCTCCCTGTGCCTGTCTGGGACAAGGGCTTTGTTATCGGCTCTGTGCCTCAGGCAAGTCCTTTAATACCCTGAGTCAGCCTTTCATCATCTGGAAAATGGTTCAAAGCATCCCTAACTCACCCAGTTGTGAGCAGATCTATCTGTCTGTCTGTCTATCCATCTATCTATCGTCTCATCTAGCCCAGACTGGCCTAAGACTATGTAGTTGAGGCTGCTACTCTTGCCTTCACTCTCCAAATGCTGGGCTAGCACACTCCTTCAGGACTGGCTCACTGGCCAGGCCTGGACTTCTGAGACGGTGCTTCACTCAGTGTTCTTGGTGCATGGCCTCAGAGAACGGCTCTGTAGTTAACAGCGCTTGTCCCTCTTGCTAAGGACTCAAGTTCGATTCCCAGCACCCACATGGAGGCTCCCAACCATCAGCAACTCCATTCACAACTCCATTCCAGGGGATCAGATGCCCTCTTCGCATCTCCTCCAGGGCCAGGTATGCACATAGCGTCCAAACATATATGCATACAAAGCAATCGTACATCTTATAAAAAAAATAGACCTTAGTATCTTTGGGGATAGAGATCCCAGTTTGATCCTGACTTCATTCCTAAGCAATCTTTTGTCAAATCCCTTTATATCAGGGGTTCTCAACCTGCGGGTTGGATGACCCTTTCACAAGGGTTGCCTAAAACACAGATATTTACCTCACAATTCATAACAGTAGCAAAATCATAGTTATGAAGTAGCAACAATTTAATTTTTTTTTTTTTTGAGACAGGGTTTCTCTGTGTAGCCCTGGCTGTCCTGGACTTGCTTTGTAGACCAGACTGGCCTTGATCCCAGCAATCTGCTTGCCTCTGCCTCCTGAGTGCTGGGGTTAAAGGTGCATGCTTTTATTCCCAGAACTTGGGAGGCAGAGGCAGGTGGATCTCTGTGAGTTCGAGGCCAGTCTGGTCTGCAGAGTGAGTCAGAAGGCTACACAGTGAGACCCTGTCTTAAAACCACAACTATCACCAAACAACAAAATAAGTGTGTAAGCGCACAGCTGGGTGTTTACATCCGGAACCTATTATGCACCTGGCACCCTTCTGTGGATGCCATACTCAACACGTGGGGTGCCCCAGAAAATGAATGAAGGGCCACTTTGCCATCTAACTTCAAAGGTGTAAGAGTCAAGGCTTCCAGGTCCAGCACATTGGCTGGATCACAGCATGAAGTCTGGATGGGGCAAGAATTCAAGCTGAAGGAGATCCTGCCTGAGCTCTGGTGCCCACACCTCACGCAGGAATCCATCAGCTCCCAGGCAGTGAAACTCCAGAGCCCCAGCTACCTGAAACTCAACCACAGAGAACTGGCTCTTGGCCCCCTCGCTGGCTGTTGGCTCCCTTCTTCTCTCCCAGCCCCACCCTGCCACCTCCATTTCCCTCCCTGGCCCTGGGGCCCTGCTTCTGCTCCAAACCTGCTCAGCCACAATTCCTTCCAGGTTCCCTCATCTGTAGAATGGGGATAATAACAGCGCAGTCTGTCGTGGGGATCGGAGGAGACACTGGAGGTGAGGTGCAGGAGGTAGGTTCTTCTACACACTGACGGCCATCATTTCCACTGTCATATGAATGATGGTCACAAGCCAAGTGGCTGAGGAAATGGAGGTTCAGAGAGGTGGGGCCACAGCAGCCCAGGGTTGTTCGGCTAGGAAGTAGGGGTCAGTACTTTGTGAGGGACCCCTAGACTTTCAAGTCAGAATTAATATTTATTACCCACCTTCTGCATGCCAAGGCAGGCCTCATTCAAAGAGAGGTTTGACAGAGATGTTTGGAAAAGTTCAGACAGAGTGCAAGGCAAGAAAGCCAAGTCTTGCTTGAGGCAGAACAAAATAAATATTCAGAGAGTGAAAGGCCTTCAGGGTGAGAGAGGAGAAACGGGCAGGGAAGGCTTCCCGGAGGAGAGGTTTAAGCTGGGCCTTGAAGGACCAGTGAGATATGTAGACTGCTTTTTCCATTTCTTTCTTAAGTAACTAACTAATTAACTGATTAATTAACTAGTTATTTATTTCTTTGGTTTTCCAAGACAGGGTTTTTCTGTGTAGCCCTGGCTGTTCTGGAACTCATTCTATAGACCAGGCCGGCCTACTCAAAAGATCTGCCTGCCTCTGCCTCTCAAGTGCTAGGATTAAAGGCGTGTGCCATTCCCCTCCCGGTGGTCTGCTGTAGACTGAAGAGGTCTGTGTTCCAGAGGCAAAGTCCCAGACAGCAACAGCTGCCAATTCATACGGACCAGGCTCTGTGCAGAAAGCTTTGCATGCATTATCTCATGAGATTTCTCTGTGATCCTATGAGGGGTTATTAGGGATGAGAAAAGACAAGACCTAGAGAATTGAGAAATCTTGTCAAACAGCTTTGGTAAAAGCCCTAGGGCCTGGATGCGAATTAAGAATGCTGGGGACAAAGCCCTGGCTGCCTGATTTGCCACGGTCTGACTAGGTCTTAAACTGGAGACTCTGGAGGGCTGTGAATGCCAAGGCCCAAACTTGAAAAACACAAACAAAAACAGCCTCACACAGCGGACCTTGCATAGGCCAGCACCTTCGGACACCCCATCACTCATTACCCAACCCTCCGCAGGGGAAGCTTATGAATGAAGAAGACTGTTTCGGTGAAATAATTGCTCAGGAGAAGCCTGGAGGCGCTTAGATGACTGTGTCTCCGACAGACTCTGGACCCTCGCCCCTGCTGTGTCTGCCAGAGGGCAGGACAGAGCTTGGGAGAGTCAGGGAGGAGCTAGAACAAACAAGGACTCCCAACCTGGACTGTCCTACATTTGACTGCCAACTCTCAGATCAGCAAATCTGTGAATGACCCCGGGCAAATTATCCCGCGACTCCCTAGTTTTTACCCGTCCCGCTCCTCAGGACTGGTAGGATAAACTAAGGAAGATAACACATGTAATCTTGGTTACTGTACTGTACTTGGTGTGCTGTACTGGCTGGCTTAGGGTAGGCGCTCGACAGATGTTAGTTCTTCCTGAAGAAGAAACAGAAACCGGAGGCCCCACCCTTCCCTGCCCCTCTGTCAGTTAAAGGAACAGGTTTCTGGCTTTCGTTTGAAGAGAAAGGGGGATATATCGGTTATATTAATTAATATGTTAACAAATTACATAATCTAACTAAGCAACAATGCAAAAGAACAAAAGGTTCTGTGGCCTGGGAAATACACAGAGGGTCAAGGCTCAGGTCCGACTCCGCTCAATTGCTCGCCCCGACCACCAAGGAACCGCGGCCTATTCCTCAGCGCAATTCGGTGTTCTGCTGGTCGCTACATTGGAAGTTCCAGATGCACCCCTCGCCTCAGTTTCGCCGGCTGTTACGAGAGAACGCCGAAGTCAGCAGATGTCGCGGCCCCTTTAAGCCACTAAGCTCCTGTTGTAATCGCTGTTTCTTAGACTAAGCCTTTCCGGGGGTGGGTGGGTGGGTGGAGCCCATATATGTTGCAGCAGCCAATCAAGGCGCGGCATTTTCCGCGGGAGATCCGAATTTGGCGGCACCTACTTTGGCGCTAAAAAAAAAAAAAGAGAAAAGAAAAGAAAAACAAAAAAGCAGAAAGAAAGAAAAGAAAAGAAAAAGGAGACTGAGCAAGGGCTGTGGACTAGAGGGCGAGCGGAGAGCCCAGCGGGGTGCACAGGACACCCCACGCGGGGCAGGGCACGCGCGTGACTGCGGAGCCCGTGGGCATCCCGCGCCGGCGCGACCCGGGGCGCCCAGACATTCGGGGGCCCGGGCCGGGCCGGACCAGCCCCCGGCGGTGCCACCCGCGCCACGCGATCTCCGAGCTCGGCGGCGCTGGGCGGCGGGCCAGGAGGGGAGGGTCCGGCCTTGCCCGGCGGGCGTCCATTGGCGGCTGCTCCCGGCGTCCGCGGCGCAGCCGGCTGCAAGGCCCGCAGGTGCCCCGCGCGCGCGCGCCAGACCCGAGTGGGCAGGGGGCGCCGCACTCGCCATGCTGCGCGCGCCGCGGACCCTGGCTCCGGCCGCCGCTCAACCCACAAAGAGCTTGCCCGCCTTGAACCCCACCGAGCTGTGGCCTCCGGGGCTCGGCAGCCCCCAGCTCTGCCCGGCCACCACCACCGCCACCGCCACCGCCTACTACACTTCGCTTTACACGCAGACGGTGCCTTCCTCTGCCGCGTTGGGCACTTGCCTCGACGCCACCCCCCACGGACCCGAGGGCCAAATTGTGCGATGTGTACCCGCGGGCCGGCTGCCGGTAATGCTGGGGACCCCCGGTGCTTCCCCTAGAGGTGTCTAGGGTGGGGAGGAAAGGAAGGAGGGTGCCCGGGGCTCAGTTTGAGTACAGCTGGGAAGTGGGACCGGCAGTAGAGGGGACGAACCCCTTCGTTTTCGACTGCGTGAAATAATCTCACCTGCTGTTGTGGAGTGCAAGGAGCACTGGACAGGGAACCCGGAGACCTCTGCCCAGCGCCCCTAGCGCCTGTGTGACCCTGAGGGAGTCTGCGCGAGGCGTCCACATTGCTACAGTTCATTCATTCTTTCATTGTTTACGCCCGAAACCAGCACCTGCTATTTCAGGCCAGGGGCTTGGCCTGCGGGATTTCCCAGTGACTTTAAACCAGGAGAGGTGTCCTGGGTCTCTGGTCCAGCCTGGTGTGGACAAAGTGGTCCAGCCAGCTCTTCCTCAAGTGCTGTCCTCCGGTCCTCCCCACAGCCTGGTCATTTTCCGAAATAGCCAGTGGCAGATGCAAATGTAGCTAGCCACTTGGAGTTCCTGTTCAGATGGACTGTGTCTTTCCTAGTCTGGCAGATGTGTTGTCAGGGAGAGAGGGCCTGGTGTGGTAGCATTGGGCAGTAGCACGGGGTGTGTGCTGGGGGAAGGAGTAGGAGCCACCTTAGAGTGGAAGGGCCTGGGGGGTTGGGGCGAGGGTCGGGGAGCCTCTGCTTTCTGCTCCTGGTCACCCACTGTGTCTATTTGAATCCGTCGGGGCCTCTGTTTCCTCTTCTTTAAAAGTGGTTTTAAAATTACGTGTGTGGGGGGGAGGGGGCTGTCGGTGCCGCATGGTGTGTTGGAGAGGTCAGGGGACAGCTTTTCAGAGTGGGGTTTTCTCCTTCTGAGTGGGTGGGTCCCACTCAAGCTCAAGCTGTGCAGCTTGGAGGCAAGTCCTCTACCCACTGAGCCATCCTGACAGCCCCAGTCCCCTCTTCTAGAAACAGGTTTGGCCTGTCTCCTCTGCCAATCCCAGCTCCAGGTCCAAGGGGGGGTGCCTGGGGGTGTATTTGTAGTGTGTGGTAAGTCTAGGGGCAGGGGAAAGACCACCCGTGTCCCGAGGGCATTTTGTCCCAGGGTGGGCTCAGGGCTCAGTGCTACAGGCGGAGCCTCATTTTGTGCCTTTGGAGTCAAGGTTTATTTCAGCTCCCAAGATCCCTTTCCTGGGAGCACAGCAAACGGCTGGGCTGTGTGGTTACCCCCATTCTCCAGGTCAAGAAACTGAGGCTAACCATTCTCTTGCCTCGTCTGGTGCTCAGCATTTTACAGCCTAGTGCGTTTGTGTAGCTTGTGAAGTAGATGCTTTTTGTTCTAGAGGTGGGGAACTGGGGGGTTAGAGGTCACACAGGGAGATGGTATGGTGACCTGCCCCACAGGCCAGCTCTCTCTGCAGCCTTGCCTTCCCCCTGAACTGCCTGTTTTAGGAGCTAGGTGCCCCCAGGAAGTGGGACTCGGGCTGGCTAATCTCTCCCTTGACCACCTGCTTTTGGATGTAGAGTGTCAGGAACAGCTGGGGTTTTGAACTGCTCCAGACCTCCCCACCAGCTCTGCATCTGTCTGTCCTACCCTCTCAGGGCGGGCTCAGGGATCTCAGCCAGAGCGGCTCTTGCTTGCCAGGCACCACTTGGCACTCTGAACCAGTTATCTTGGTTAAGATGCTCGGGAGGAGGTGTTCTGTAGGTGAGGAAAACCAAGCCGAGGTGAAGTCACTTGCCCAAGTCACCAGCCGAGAGGTGGGGTGCCCTTGCATCAGACTCCCTAGGGGCCTGCCAGGCCCAGAGCCTGGTCCATCTCCAGATGCTGGGGCACGGGGGCCCCCCTGGGCAGGCCTAACCCTCTGCTTACTCATTTTACAAGGGTGTGACCTGGAACTGCTCCAAACCCAGCCCTGGGTGTGGCCTTCTGCTTTGTGGCTGTAAAGTGTGGGGTGAGCAAGATTTGTTGGGGAGCTGGCCTTTCAGGGGTGACAACCAAGCTGAGTTGCAGAAGTAGCTCGGCTCCGCTCGCTTCCATGCCCGATTGTTCTTGCTATCCTCTAGAAGAGACCGAGGAACATTTTCTTAAGGAGTCTGACCTCCGGCTGGGGCTCATGACGTTTTTCTACCAGTCCTACAGCTGGTATTTCTCTTTGGCTCTTAATTTGTCTATGCTGTCCACAGTGCAGTTTTGGAACTCACTCTGTAGACCAGGCTGGCCTTGAACTCAGAGATCTGCCTGCTTCTGCCTCCTGAGTGCAAGGATTAAAGGCTGGAGCCACCTCAGTTGGCTGCTGCTGCTGCTGCTGCTGCTGCTGCTGCTGTCTCACTGTTGCCAGGCTGGTCCTGAACGCCTAGGCTCAAATGATGCAGCTGAACTGGGCATACATACATATCTGTAGTCCCAGCGCTGGGGAAACTGAGGCAGGAAGATTGCCAAGAGTTCCAGATCCAGTGGGGCATGGTGGTGCAGGTCTTTAATCCCAGCACTCTGAAGACAGAGGCAGGTGGCTCTCTGTGAGTTTGAGGACAGAAAACTCTCAGAGAGTTTTAGGACAGCCTGGGCTACATAATTCGACCCTGTCTCAAACAAAGAGAGATTTTGCCTCAGCCTCCCTAGTGGCGTAGGTTGTAGGCAAAACATAAATATGTATATATTTTTTAACTCCCCACATCAGGTCAGACCATGGCATAGAGGCTCAGGAGTAGGGTGACATGTCTCAGGCTGTCCTGCTATCATGGACCTATAGAGCCAAACAGCAACGTGATGCCTAAATTTGTTCTCACCCCAGTGCCCGCCCTAGGTTGGAGGGGAGACCCAGGTCCCTGCTGTGTGCCCTTGGACAAGTCATATCCCTTCTCTGACCCGATTACTCTTTGCTTCCCCGCCAGCTCCTCTGTTCCTCTGGGGCTCCCTAGCAGTTCTCCCCTCAAGGGCTTGGCAGATGGATTAAATCCTAACCAGGACAAAGAAACTGCTTCAGAGGGTCCAGATTAGAGCCACATCGCCCTCTGGGTGTGGTCACAGGGTCCTTTAGCCCCTGCTGTCTCATCTCACTTCACTCTTGGAACTTCACCCACGGCGAGGCCCATGCCTGAGTGGTGGCAGCTCCTGCACCGGCCTGGCCAGGTTACTCTTCTGCAGTGCCTTACTGACTCCTCAGCGGGAGCAGATTGGCCCAACCCTCTAGGTGGGTCAAGGTTACCTGACTTCCCAGCTAGCTAAGGAAGGAGAGGTCTAGCTTTGACCCCGTCTGACCCCGAGGCCTGTGCTCAGCCACTCGGCTCCTGGTGCCACCTGGCCTCTGCTGGCTTTTCTCTGGGCAGTGCCCAGATGTTAGGCTGGTGTTAGGTGAGGGACACTTTGTTACTTCGGGACCTAATGAGGGAGCATGAGAAAAGAGGAGACGGCGGGCGGATGTGTGAAGCGATGGGAGCAGGTGGCCAGGCCTTGGCTCACAACCTAGCAGTTCCCGGGGCGGGGGGTGGGGGTGGATGGGTGGCTCTCGTAGCCTGGCTTTGGAGTTGGACAGACCTGGGTTCAAACCCTGCCTCTGCTTTTTCCTGCGTGACTTTAAGCCTGCCTTGTAACCTAACCTCTCTGTATCCGCTTGTCGGCCAAGACACATCAGGACCGTGAGGGAATGTGACAGGCTGGTTCTCTTCTGGCCCCTGCCTGGCAGGTGGCAAGTAAGGTTCTGATGGGGGGTCGGGAGTGTGGGATGAGCTGGAACCAGGCTTGACCTGCTCTCCTGTCTCCCTGCCTTTGTATGGTGGGAGGGGGTCTGGAGCGAACTATTTTGATCAAGCCGGAAGTTCCTGCAGCCCACCTGGCCTCAATTACAACAGCCACAGGATGGTTACTGGTGGTGCTGGAGGCTTCATCAGGGCTGAGAGCTGGAGTTCAGCTTGGCTTATGTGGCAGGTCACAGCCGGTGACTGGTGAGATCTTTCTCTGGCTCAGTCAGTTGAGAGGTAGCTGAGGGGCGCTCAGGAGACCATTGGAGGAATGAGTGTCTGGGTTCTGTGTGAGGACTAGGGTGGAGGAGAGGGGTGACATTCAGGCTCCTGGAAGCGATGAGCAGAAGAATTCTTGTACCAGTCCAGGGAGACTTCCTGGAGGGGGCAGGGGTCGGGGCGGGGAGCTGACACCTGTCAGGCCAGCTGTGCTCAGCAGCAGTTAGAAGGCTCAGCCCCATGGAGCGTGACCTCACCACCAAGTGTTAAAACAGACCTCTCCGAGCATGCCTGGGCGGGGGGGGGGGGGGGGGGGGGGGGGGGGGGGTATCTGGAGGACAGGGAAGGAAGGAAACGGTCTCAATGGCCCCAGAGGGTGTGTCCAGGAAGATGTTGAGATGGTGTTTGGGGAATAGACTGTGTATTTCCTGAGCCCCTACTGTGTAGCTCTTACTGAGTACTTCACTTGAGTTACTCCCGAGACCTCCGGCTCATGATGTTCTGCCCATTTTACTGAGCAGGAAACTGAGGCTCTTAGTTATGGTGACACATGTCCCTAGATCACACAGTGAGCCTTCAAACCTGCTGGAGATTCCAGCTGGCCCTTTGCCCAGTGCCCCAGTGCCCCAGTGTCTCTGCCCCACCCCTGCCCAGCCCTAACCATCAGGGAGGCCCTTTCCGGGCAATGGAGCAAGAAGCCTCATTGTGGCCCTGTGGTGGTGGTGGCGGGGGGGGGGGGAGGGTGTCTGGGTAGAGAGGAGCAGATGGGCTGTGGTTTGGTTTCCCCAGCAGGTGTTTCCCAAGCTTGGCGGGAACGGGGAGTGGCAGCGGGGCCTCAGCTGCTTGTCCTCAAGATGCTGGGGAAGGACTCATTGTGTCTCAGAAAAGAAAGAATGACAAGCAGTCCCATTCAGGAGGCCCAGGACCCTCAAGCTGGAGCCCAAATGAGGAGGGAGGGTGTTTGTACTGTTTCCCAATGTGGGTACCTCCCTGGGGTGTGGCACGGAGCCAGGAAGTCCCTTGGGCCTGGGCGGATGCTGGTCCCACCCTGATAAGGGCCAGCTGTGGAGCCGTGATGAGCACCAGGTCTGCCTGAGCCAGCTGCTTCTGAAAGGGGCAGGTCCCCAGCCTGATGTGGTTTAGGTCCTGCCCACTTCTTCCTCCAAGTGTGTGTGTGTGTGTGAATGTGTGTGTGTGTTTTGCATTGGGTAGGGCCTCCAGGGCCTGGACCATAGAGGTAGGAATTTTATTTGCTCCTTACTTTGATGGACATTTCCTAGCCACGTTCAGCCAGCCACGATGTGGCAATGGCTGGTGGCAAGCATGCAGGAGACGGCTGCTGGTGGCCTCCTTGCGCTGGCTGCAGTTCAGGGAAGAGGCTAAGGAAGGCCCAGTTCTCTAACTCTTCCTCTTCCCCTCTCTCCCTGTCTGTCAAAGGCCAAAAGGAAGCTGGACCTGGAAGGCATTGGGAGGCCCACCGTCCCTGAGTTCCGGACCCCCAAGGGGAAGTGCATCCGAGTGGATGGTTTGCCAAGCCCCAAAAGTAAGAGTTTCCGATGGGCACCCGCAGCTGGGTGGCACGGGACAGAAAGCAGCGGTCCCACTTAAGTCACAAGCACAGGGGTCTCTTGGGCGATTTCCTTTTCCAAGGTTTCCTGTGTACTCTCACACTTGATTCGGTCCAGTAGACAGGATTATGTCCTGATTACTGCTGAGGCAACTTGGGAGAACTCAGCGCTTGGCTGAGGTCACACAGCTAGTCACAGGAATCAGGGCTAACACCTCACCTCACGCCGATTCTTGCACTTTAGGCACCTGTTCCATGGGGCTAACCAGGTCTACTGTCTAGTTGGGAGCCTAGTATGTGTTTAGGTTTTCACATTTGGGTTAACCTGACCTAAGAGACAGCCCAGGGAGGCTCCGTGGCTAACCAGGATCTGCCTCCCACCCGCAGACAGCGCTCAGGGACTCAAAGGGAAGCTTGAAATAAGCCACCTGGTGTCACTGGAAGGTCCTCAGGCTGTCCCACCAGAGCAACGGTTCTCAACCTGTGGGTCGGGACCCTTTTGGGGGTTGAATGACCCTTCCACAGGGTCATTCATTGGAAAACACAGAGATTTACATAACAATTCATAACAGCAGCAAACTTACAGGTGTGAAGAAGCATGAGGATCTGTGTTAAAGGGTCGAAGCATTGGGAACCACTGGACGAGAGCCTGGGCTAAACCGCAGGGGATTCCTACCGCTGGGATTTTCAGTCAATATTCAGGTTAACCTGGAAGTTTGAGCCAGTATGTTCAGGAGAGACATGAATTTTCCCAGAGACCTAACGAAGGGGTATGACTGAGTGTCAGGTAATAGTGATTCCAGGCAAGGGCTCCCACCTGACTTTTCTGGAACCCCCCTTTATCTCGTGAAGATGAGGCAGCCCTAGCTCGGGATGATAAGACAGTTTACTCTTCGTTTGATTGATTAGAGGCTACACAGAACCAAGACTGAAGGATGCCACAGCTCAGTTAGACAACAGAGTGATCTTAAACACAGTGATCAATTATTATTATTTTTTTTAAAACAGGGTTTCTCTGGGTAGCCTTGGCTGCCCTGGACTTGTTTTGTAGACCAGGCTGGCCTTAAACTCACAGTTATCCGACAGCTTCTGCATTCCCAAGTGCTGGGATTACAGGCGTGCACCACTGTGCCCGGTTCACTGATCGATTATTATTGTCTGTCACTAACACAAAACTGGGCTAAGCAGCCCGTGTGCCAAATTCTTGGCCTCTGTGTCAAGGGATTCTCAAGTCCCCTTCTTAGTTCCCATGACTAGCTTGGCCACCAACTTCTATGTGACCTAAAGTCATTTGATTGCAAAAGTCCCCTTGAGGTTTAATTCGCTGCAGCTGAGAAGTGTTGCAACATCAGCCTTGTTGAGAAAGGGACCTTTTCCATGAACCTGGTCCATTTGATGTTTGATGTTAAATGATTCTCCTCAGATAATTATTGGGCTACACATGGAAAGAAAAGGCAAGTGTGGGTCTATTAAAGATGTTCTCAGATCCAGGCTTGCCCATTCCTCCTGACCATAACTCCTAATTCCTGGTATAATTGGCAGGAGCAGATAATGGGTTTAGGGGAAAGGCTGGGGCCAAACTGCCTGGATTTAAATCCTGAGTAAAACGAACAAATTACTTGACCAGTCTGTGCTTCTGTACACCCGTGTCGGGTATTCGCTTGAGGAGAGTGCCCGCAACAGTGATCCGCCCAACAGTAAGCAGTCCTTGGAGCTGTGGCAATGCCTGCTCCTAGCTAGAGCGGAAAGGTGCTCCGAACCGGGAGTCGCCACACTTGGCTTCCGGTCCCGACAGCGCCCCCTGCCGGAGAGACCTGGAGCAGTCCGCCGCCCCCCAGGTTTCAGGTTGCTGGTGCGCGCGGCAGCGGAGAACCCCCTGCCCGCACGCTGGACAGCTCTCTCGGTGGAGGGTGGCAGAACGCGCTGCCGAACAGATCCGGACTCGCGGAGGGAACCCAGGCTGGCTCCCCCAAAGCGGTGTGTGAATGGGGCCTTTTCCTCCTCAGCCCCCAAGTCTCCCGGGGAGAAGACACGCTATGACACGTCACTGGGGCTGCTCACCAAGAAGTTCATTTACCTCCTGAGCGAGTCGGAGGATGGAGTCCTGGACCTCAACTGGGCAGCCGAGGTGCTGGATGTGCAGAAGCGGCGCATATATGACATCACCAACGTGCTGGAGGGCATCCAGCTCATCCGCAAGAAGTCCAAAAACAACATCCAGTGGGTGTGAGTGCCTGGGCCAGGCCATGGCACCATCCAGTGGGTGCATGTGGTGGGGGCGGGGCCGGGACCTACTGTAGCCAATAGATGCGGGTTTTGGGGTGCCCTCCCCAGCAACAGACATGTACAGGGCAGGGGCGGTGGTGGGTGGCCAAAGCCAACCACCAGGTTTCTGAGGAGGGACAGAGCCTGTGTGTTTGGGTGAAGCAGGTGTTAAATGCTGAAATAATGGCGAGAGAGTGCTAAGGGCCTGGGCAGAGTGGGGTTGTAAAAGCCAAAAGGACCCCAGCTCCTGTGTCAGGGTCCCCCTCTTGGCTTAGGGAAGCCTTTGGGAGCCACTCAGGTGTGAGTCAGACTCCTCCTCACCGCTCCAAGGTCTGAACGAACCCTGGCACGAACTCAGGAAACCCAGGCACGGAGCCAGGGCTAAAGTCAACAGTTCCTTTCTGATGGAGGCTGGGGCGGAAGGCCAGACTCTGGGGTTCAGGCTTCTTATCTCTAACCTACCCCAGACTTCAAGGGCGAGTCCATGACAGTTCCCAGGGAGCATCACCGCTGATTTGCATACCGGGGTGGGGGCGGCGCAGGGCTGGCACGACTAGCCCTGGCTTGGAGTTTCACCAGCTCCCCTGTGCGGTTATGTGGGGCGGCCCGCGGTGGGGACCGTGAATAGGGAACTGACGCTGGGGGCTGCTCTGTTCCCAGAGGCAGGGGAATATTTGAAGACCCCACCCGACCTGCGAAGCAGCAGCAGCTGGGGCAGGAGCTGAAGGAGCTGATGAATGCGGAGCAGACCCTGGACCAGCTCATTCAGAGTTGCTCGCTGAGCTTCAAGCACCTGACCGAGGATAACGCCAACAAGAAATATCCTTTCTGCAGGGAGGGGGGAGGGGGCAGGGCTGCTGGCTGTTGAAGTCACTCTTGATTTCTTACCTCCTTACAGGGACTAGCTCCCTCTAGGGGACTGGCACATCTCTCAAGCTTAGGGAAGTTTGGGGTTTGCTTTCTTTTCTTTTCTTCTGTGAGACCCTGCCACGGAGATTTAGGTGCCATGCTGTGTGTGTTGGTAAGTCCCGCAATGGGCGTTTGCATCCAGTGTGGAGTTCCCTTCTCCATGTATGTTTTAGTTATTATGTTTCCTCTGGTGTGCATTGTGCTCTAGCAAGTGTGTGGAGGTCGCAAGATAATTTACTGAGGTCGATTCTGTCCTACCACGGAGGTCCCAAGGATCCAACTGGCATGCTGGGAGGCAGTGCCATTATTCCCTGAAGCATCTCACCGGCCCATAGAGCTTGTTTTCATGTCTTCTCCTTTCATTTAGTCTTTGTCAATTTCATACACATATGCGTTAACCATATCTATTCCCAATTTCCCTCTCCCCCAACACAGCCCCTTCCCACCTTCATATCCTCTCCTTTTTTTAAAAAAAAAAAAAAATTATTTTTATTTCCTATAGATTTATTTATTTCATTTTATGTGTTTTGCTTGCGTATATATTTGTGCGCTCCATGTGTGCCTGGTGCCCTCGGTGGGGGGGGGGGTGTCAGAAGAGGGCGTCAGGTCGCCTGAAACTTGAGTTATAGATGGTCGTGAGCCACCATGTAGGTGTTGGGAATTGAACCTGGGTCCTTTGCAAGGACAATGAGCGCTCTCAGCTGCTGAGCCATCCCTCTGATCTTGTTGGGTTGAACTCCTGCAGGTAACCGGAGTCACAGTGAGTTGTACAATAGCCATGTCCTGTCCCCAAGGCAGTGTCACACAGTATTTCTACCCACCCTCTGTACCCCTAAATTCTTCATAGCTTTTATGTTTTAAAAGCTGGGGAAGACCATTTTTGAGATAGGGTTTCTACCCAAGGCTGGCCTTGAACTTCCTAAACATCTGAGAATGACCCTGGACTCCTGGATCCTCCTGCTTCTACTTCCTGAGTGCTGAGGTCATAGGTGTAAACCACCTTGCCCAGCTTATGTGGTCCTGGGGTTAGAACCCAGGGCTTCATGATTGCTAAGAAGCACACTCCTAACTGAGCTGCATGCCCGGCTGATTCCACCCCCCTTTTTTTTTTCCTTATACTATAGCCTAGACGGGCCTTGAACTGGTGGCAATCCTCCTGATTCAGCCTCCTTAGGAAATTGTTGGGATTACAGCTGTGAACTGCAATGCCTGACTGACTCCGTGTTTGTGTGTGTGTTTGTTCTTCTGTGTTGCCTGGCTGTCCTGAAAATTGCTCTGTATGCCAAGCTGGCCCTGAATTCAGAGAGAAGTCAGAGGCTGGCCTGCCTCTCTGCATCCCAGGTGCTGGGATTAAAGGCGTGCACTGCTGTGCTCAGCTTAGAATCTTTTGCTTATTGAGACAAGGCCTTTCTATATGGTCCTGGCTCTCTTAGAACCCACTGTGTAGGCCAGGCTTCTTGCCTCAACCGTGTGTGTGTGTGTGCGTGTGTGTGTGTGTGTGTGTGTATGCCATGACACGTGTTCATGTCAGAGGATCACTGTCAGGTGTCAGTTCTCCCCTTACCATGTAGGGTTTGAGGACCAAATTCAGTTTCCTCAGGCTTGCTGAGCTCTTGCTGTCCCTATTATTATTACGATTACTGCTTTCATTCTTTATTTGTTTATCAGCGTGTATGTGAGGGGTGTGCTCACGCCACAACACACATGTAGGACCAGAGGACAACTTGCAGGAATCAGTTCTTTCCCTCTCCCACATGGAACCCTGGGGTAGAACTCAGGTCATCAGGCTTGGTAGCAAGTATCTTTACCTACTGAGCAATCTTGCCAGCCTTTATTTTTAAAAACATATTTTATTTTATTTCTTTGTTTAAAAAAATTATTTATTATTTATTTTTTTAATGTATATTGGTCTTTTGACTGCATGTATGTCTGTGTGAAAGTGTCAGATCCCCCGGACCTGGAGTTACAGACAGTTGTGAGCTGCCATGTGGGTGCTGGGAATTGAACCCAGGTCCTCTGGAAGAGCAGTCAGTGCTCTTAACCACTGAGCCATCTCTCTAACCCCTTTATTATCAACCAACATACAAAGTAAATAGCTTTTCTTAAGGAATTTTCATTTGTACTTAATTGTGGTTAGTCTTTCCCATCTTCTCTCACCATCTCCTTTCTTCTGCTCCCCATTTGTAACCTTCTACCCCTAGAATTCTCCTTTTGGCTTTCATAGTACTTGTGTTCTATTACCTTTCCCACTCCTTTCCCTTAAAGCTCCCGCACCTCCCCTTTCTAGTTTCCTGACCATTGCCCACCCCTACTCACTTACAATACATACATAAAAATCAGCAGAAGAGAGAATAATGTCTTTCTTCCTTTTGGAGGGTTTATTATTATTATTATTATTATTATTATTATTATTATTATTATTATTTTGGGGCTTTAAGACAGGGTTTCTCTGTGTAGCCCTGGCTGTCCTGGAACTCACTCTGTAGACCAGGCTGGCTGGCCTCGAGCACAGAGATCCACCTGCCTCTGCCTCCCAAGTGCTGGGATTAAAGTCTTGCGCCATCACCAGCAGGCCAGCATTTGTCTTTCTAAGCCTGGGTTACCTCGCTTCATGTAATAGTTTCCTGTTTTCATTTTCCTTTATGCTGGTACCATTCTGTTGAGTCTGTAACATATTTTCAGCAACCATTCACCTGTTGCTGGGCATCTAGGCTGATCCCGTTTCCTTGTGGTTGCAAATGGCCTCACTCACCCTGGACTTTGAATCTGCTTTCCAGCAGGACGGAAGGTGGCTTGTGCTATTCAAAGAGCAGGCTATGGCCATTCGCAGTTTTTCCTGAGCTGTATCGTGTGTGAGGGTGTGATTTCCAGAGGCTTAGAGGGGAGAAGAAAAGCCCTGGGAGGCTGGGATGTGCATTTTGACAAGGCAGTCGCTTTTCTTAACTTGCCTGCCCTTACATTGGCCTATGTGACCTATCAGGATATCCGTGCTGTAGGCAACTTCAAGGAGCAGACAGTGATTGCAGTTAAAGCCCCTCCTCAGACAAGACTGGAAGTGCCGGACAGGGCAGAGGTGAGAAGGGAGACACTGGGTGAGGAACGGGGCGGGAAGGCCCTGAGTAGCTCTAGAGTGTGCCTGGCACTTCTAGCCCACGCTCCACGGATCCATTCTGGAGCCTGGGGCAGAAGTGGCAGAATCTAGAAAGAACAATAGAGACTAAGTACTGGCTTGAGGGCATCCCTGGTTTGACAGAGATTGTTTTCATTATTATTATTATTATTATTATTATTATTATTATTATTATTATTTTGGTTTTTTGAGACGGGGTTTCTCTATGTAACCTTGGCTATCCTGGACTGGCTTTGTAGACCAAGCTGGCCTCAAACTCTCAGAGATTCCCCTGCCCATGCTTCCCTGAGTGCTGGGATCACAGGTGTGCGCATTCATCCTGCGTGGGCTCCTGGGCACATGCGCTTGTGTGCCCACAGAAGCGGTTAGGACTCATGAGAATCTTTACCCACTGGCCAAGCTCTCACAGGTTCAAGGTGAAACAGTTCTTCAATGCTGAGGATGGAACCCATGTTTTTGCATGTGCTAGCACATTCTCTATGACAGCTCTACCTCTACCCTTGGCCTTTTGAGACAGGGCCTCTCTGGGTGGGTTGGGCTGGTTTTAAATTCACTGTGTAGCCCAGCCTAGCCCCAGGTTCATGATCTTCCTGCCTCTGCCTCCTAAATGCTGGTGTTGAAGGCAGAGATCACCATTCCTGGCATAAAGATCAAATTAAAAAAAAAAAAATGTTTTAGCCTGGTGCGGTGGCACACACCTATAATCCTGGCGCTTGGGAAGTAGAGGCAGGCGGATGTCTGTGAGTTCGAGGCCAGCCTGGTCTACAGAGCGAGTCCAGGACAGCTGGGGCTACACAGAGAAACCCTGTATAAAAAAAAACGACAAAAAAAAGTTTCAAAATTTTATTTATCTAGTCAGCTCCAACCCTATGTGTGCGTGCATGCGTGTGTGTGTGTGTCTCTGTGTGTGTGTGGGTCAGAGACAATTGGTGGGAGTCAGTTCTCTCCTTCAGGTGTCATCAGCCCTGAGGACAGGTGCTCTTCTGCTGAGGGTTTTCTATCCCAAACCAAAATTGTTTTTGTTTTTGAGGTTCATTCATATTTTTATTTATATGTTTGGGTGTTTTGCCCGAATAACGTAATCTGTGCGCTATGTGCATGCAGCGACTGTGGCGGCCAGAAGAGGGTGTTGGAGCTCTGTGGAACTGGAGTTACAGGCTCTTGTGAGCTGCTGAGGAGGTGCTGGAAGTCAAAGCTGGGTCCTCCAGAAGAGCTCTAGTGCTCTTAGTCGGGGCTCTACACCATCTCCTCCAGCTCCAAACCGAAATCCTTAGTCCTCCCTGTAAAGCCTTTGGTGCCCTGAGCCCAGAGGACTCAGCCACTTTCATCTCTCTGTCCTTGTTCACGTCAGCCTGTCTGCAATTGAGCATCCTCAAGGCCTTTGCACATGCTAGCCCCTCTAGCTGAAATTTGCTTCCCCTCTCCCTGCCTGCTGGACAGCCCCTGCCTGCTAGACTCTGGCTGTCCTCAGCTTCCAACTGGAGACTGAGTCACTTCCTTCTTCATCACCTCAGAGGAGATCTTCCCATTTAAAATGCACACACACACACACACACACACACAATCAGTTCTCTGGCCCACCTTTGACAGGATTCCTCAAGAACTCACTATGTGTAACCAAAGACAGCCTTGAAATTCTGTCCCCTTGCCTCTACTTCCAGAATACTGGGACTGTGGGCATTTGAGAGCACGCTAGTGTAGGAGGCCTGGGGGCTGGAGCCCAGGGCCTTATACTTGCCAGGCAAGCGTCCCAGCAGCTGAGCTAGATGCCAGCTTGTTAGGGATTTAAGCTTTAAGAACGAGCTGTTCAACTTGTGTCAGCGTAATGAGAGATCCAGAAATACTGTGTTTGAAGGAACCCATGCTGCAGAGGTCGTGAGAGCCCCATCCCTCAGGACCTGGTGGGTTGGGGGAGACCCAGGCAGGGGCTCTCTAACTTGACTGAAGATGTGCTGAAGGACAGAGGAAGCACCCTGGGGAGACAGGTAAACAGTATCAGAGATGCCAAGGGTTTCTGCCAGGTGACATGATGCTTAGAGACCTGAACTTGTGGCCGAGTGTGTGTGTGTGTGTGTGTGTGTGTGTGTGTGTGTGTGTGTGTGTGTGTGTGTTCACTGTGTCTTATGTACAGATGCAGTGGGAAGGACAAGGGTGGAGAAGCTCGGTCCCACTGGTTTAGGCCTGTGGTGAGGGGAAGACCAAGCGACCAGCTCAGGATTTGGGGGAGACAAAGTTTAACTCAGGGACTCAAATCGTGGTTCGCATCTCTCCGGTGCTCTGTCTATCCCTGCCCACCCCTCTCTGTGCTGTTCTCAGTTGGGCTCCTCTCCTGTGGCAACAGCTTAGCCAACCTGGGAGGAAGAGACCTTCTCTTCTTGTGTCCAGCCAGGGTCCTGAACCCTGTGCTGGTTGGGTTAACCTCGGCCATGACACCTCGAGGGGGCCACGTAGCCCTGACTGTCTAGAGCTGAGTCACAAGTGGGGGTGTTGGAGTTGGAAGGCCCCTTCACACACTTCATGGCAGGGCACAGGGGAGTCCGATTCCCCCAAGGGGAAAATCAAGGTGCCCTCCCTACAAGGACACTTGCAGGTTGGACAGTGGAACAGCCATGTCCTCCCGGCGGGGCGGAGCAGTGTCAGGCCTGGGCTGAGTTTGCTCTCGTGGGTGGCACTGCCTGTGCCTGCTCACACCTGCTGACCCGTGGGCCCGTGTCCAGCACTGTGAGGTGGTTTCTCTTCCTCCTCCAGGAGAACCTGCAGATTTATCTGAAGAGCACCCAAGGGCCCATTGAAGTCTACCTGTGCCCAGAGGAAGTGCAGGAGCCAGACAGTCCTGCCAGGGAGGCTCTCCCCTCCACCTCTGGCCTCAGCCCCATCGCTGACGGCGCTGAGCCCAGCTGCAGCACCGACCCTGGGACCCCAGAGACCACAGCGTCTTCAGGTAGGCCCTCTGTGTGGTCACCGTGCTTCATGCTCGTCGGCCCTGTCTCACCAGGGGAGCTGGTGCTGCTTTGGGGCAGCTCAGCCGCTCATCCCCCTCGGCTTCGTGCCCTTCGACAGTTTCTGTTTCAATCTCCTCATCTGCAGTTTGGGCAGTAGCAGTTAATATTTAACGCTCAGGTTATTAAAAGGGTCAGCGAGCTAATGGAAACTGAGTGTTTGGCCTGGCAGTACCTGTTACTGTCATTTCTGCCGCCGCCACGGCTAGGAGGACAGCTCACAGCCTAGCACGTGGCGCTCCATAAGACTCAGTAAGCGGTGACATGTGTGTGGCGTGGGAGTTGTACCCAGGGCACTACCCATCCTAGGTAGGTGAGCACTGAGCCACTGAGCCACGGCCTCACACTGTCAGTTTTGTGGGTTTAAAAAAAAATAGTTTATTTAAAAGTTTGTTATAAAGACTCTGTAAATACAAAGAGCATCCTGCAGAAAAATGAACCAGATCCGAAGTTTCTGCGTTTCAATATACTGTACCATTAGAATAGCCAAGGCTGAAGAGATGGCTCGGTGGCTAGGAACACAAAAGGACCCAGGTTCAATTCCTAACACCCACATGGTGGCTTACCTGTGTAGCCCTGGCTGCCCTAGAACTCTGTAGACCAGGCAGGCCTCAGAGAATGGCCTGCCTCTGCCCCCTGAGTGCTGGGGTTAAAGGCCTACGCCAACACGGCCTCTCTAAAAGTTGTGGAGCTTCATGTTAGATTCTGAACTTTTTTTTACTACTGAATATGTTTATGCTCTTAGCTGCCACCAAGACAAACAACAATAAACCCAGAGAACTAGACACACAATTGCCTTTCTCTCCTTGGTCCTTACCTGTAGGCTAGGCTAGCTTCAACCCTCAAAGGTTTGCCTGTTTTGAGTGCTGAGATTAAAGATATGTGCCACCATGCCTGGTAGGTTTGGTTTTGTTTTGACATAGGGTCTCACGAAGTCCAGGCTAGCTTCAAACTTTCTGTGTCTAAGGATGACCTTACATTCTCATCCTCTTGCCCCTACCCCGAGTATGAGAGTTATGGGTTACATACACACATATTTATACGCCTAGTGTATGCACTGCTGGAGATCAAAGCCCGGCCTTTGTGCCCAATCCACAAGCGCCCTATCAACAGAGCCACACCCATAGCCCAAGTCTCGGTTACTGTTTTCAAATCACTTACTTATGTATTTATTTTACTCTCCTTTGTTGTTATATGTGGATGCGTGTATACCGTGGTCACGTGCATGCCCTGACACGTTATAGAGGTCAGAGGACAGCGTGCAGGAGTCGTTTCCCTCCTTCCACTCTGTGGGTCCCAGGGATGGTCAGACTTAGTGGCAAGTGCCATTGCCTGCAAAACCACCTGGCTGGCCCCAGGTCTTTGTAAGGGTTTGAGACGAGATCTCTAACCCAAGCTGACCTGTAGCTGAGGTCCTCCATCTTCGCCTCCCAGGGATGGGATTACTGAGGGTTACTCCACATCTGGTTAGCCCTGGATTTCCAGAAGAAGGCTCAGGACTTTCTCTGGTGACAGTAGCTGAGTATTTTTTTTTTCCCACCATGACTCAGCTGTGGGTCTTCTCATCCCGTGGCACACCTTGAAGGAGGTCTCATTACCCCTGCTTTAGCGGGGAGAGGTGATGCAACCTAGCCAAGCACAGACAGCTGGGAGGCAGCTTGGTGGTGTCTTGACCTTTGGTCCACTGGGGCCCGATGCTGTGTCCTCAGGCACAGGACAAACCAGGAAGGGCCCCTGGCTGGAGGGCCCACACCTGGCTGGGAGGCCGGTGGTGCAGCTAATGAGTCAATGCAGCCAGGAGCCACCTCTGCAGGACCGCCAGTTCTGCCCCAGCTCACAGGAACAGGGTCTTCGGGGCCATGTAGGCCTATGGTTTGCTGTTTACTTTTTGTTACATTTACTTACTGTGTGTGCCACGCACATGTGGAAGCCAGGGATCAGCTTTCAGGAATCGTTTTTTTTTCTCTCTCTACCACGTGGGTTCTGGGGTTTGAACTCAGGTCTCTATGCTCTGCTGCAAGCTCCTTCTCCCAGTGAGCCATCTTGGCAGCCCCAGAACCATAGAATCTAAAGAAAGGCAGAGTGGGATTGGTCTGGGAGTAAAGACTTGTGAAGTTCTACAGGACACAGGCCGACTTCCGCCTCTCTAACACGAAGGTTGACACTCACCTTGCAGGTCAAAGCTGGCTGGTTTTTCATAAAGCCAGTGAGCTAATGATGGTTTTGAACTTCCGGCTTTTCTTTTTATTTAGTGGTTGGGCTGGGAACTGAACCCAGGATCTTACACACGGTAGGCAAGCACTCTGTCACTGAGCTACCCCCTAGCTTGTGTTTTTACACTTTCTAAGAGTTGAAGAGGGGGGCTAGAGAGATGGCTCAGCTGTTAGGAACATTTGCTGTTCTTGCAGAGGACATGAGTTCAGGTCCCACCACCCACGTGGTGACTCTGTAACTACAGTTCTAGGGGATGTGATCTGACGCCCTCTTCTGACCCCTGCTGGCAGTGTATGCAGATAGCACCATACATTCACGAAGGCAAAATATTTGTACACGTAAATAAGTCTTTTTTTAAAGATTTATTTATTTTTACATATGAGTGCTCTATGTGCATATACACCTGCGTGCCAGAAGAGAGCATCAAGTCCAAGTATAGGTGGTTGTGAGCCACCCTGTGGTTGCTGGCAAGAGCAGACAGTACTCTTAACCACTGAGCCATCTCTCCAGCCCCCGTAAGTCTTTAAAAACAATCAAAAAAATTCGATGGTCGCTGTGGTACCCTGTAATCCCAGCACTCAGGGAGGCAGAGGCAGGCAAATCTCTATGCGTTTAAGGCCAGCCTGCTCTACAAAGAGAGTCCCAGACAGCCAAGACTACACAGAGAAACCCTGTCTCCAAAACCCAAAGAATAAAAATAAAAAGAGTCGGGTAGAGGGCCACTGTGTTACACACAGCCTGAAATACTGTCCAGCCCTTTACGGAAACTTACTGACCTTGATCTCATTCTACATGATTAAAGTAATGCCCAGACAGAGCAAGCGGCTTCCCTGAACTCTCACAGGAAATTGATGGAGTTGCTGGGACCAGAACCCAGACTCTTGACTCCTGTCTGGTGATCTCTGCAGTGTGTGTCACTCAGGGACAGGGCTTCTCTGTGTGCCCAGCCGTCGGTCCCTTTGGGCACCTCCCTAGTCCCTATCTTTTCACCCAGACCTGTGCCCCACCCTCCCCTCCCACCTGCTGCCCTCTCGCTCAGCTGTAAACATGTACCTGGCTCTCCAAAGTCAGAGCCTCCTGCGCGTTGCTTGTCCTCTAGGACCTTTCGTGGAGACGGTGGTAAAAGGTCCATGTCAGATTTTTAGTGTAAGAGCTGAAGCCCAGAGGCTGTGGTGGAGCTGAGGGAGGGGTACAGCGCTGGCCTAGCCACTGAGGCCCTGGGTTCTATCCCAGATGGTGGGGTGGGGGCGGGCAAGAAGACTTGGAGGCCTCGGAGTAGGTGGGCGTGGAGCCAGTTTTGCTTGCCCCTCTTTGTCCCCACTGAAGGGAGGAAAGGGAGATTGTGTACACTCACACATAGGCTGAGAGGATGAAAAGGAAGTTGCCTGGGGGTGTGTATTCACACACGTATACTTACATACACACTCACTCACGAAGATACAGACATGGTCCCCATGCTCCAGCTAGAAGTAGAGGTTTTTGGTTGGTTTGGTTTGGTTTGTTTGTTTGTTTGTTTGTTTTTGTTTTGTTTTGTTTTTGAGACAGGGCTTCTCTGTGTAGCCTTGGCTCTCCTGGACTCGCTTTGTAAACCAGGCTGGCCTTGAACTCATAGATTCCCCTGTTCTGCCTCCCCTAGTGCTGGGATTACAGGCGTTTACAACTGGGCCCAGCTGGTTGTTGTTTATTTTACGTGTGTTTGCCTCTGTATGTATGCATGTATGTATGCATATGTACCACATATGTACAGAAGAGGACATCAGATCCCTAGAACTGGAGTTGCAGGCCGTCGTGAGCCTCTTTGTAGGTTCTGGGAACCAAACGCGGGTCCTCTTCAAGAGCAGCAAGTGCTCTTAACCTCTGAGCCATCTCTCCAGGACCAAAGCGCAGAGCGCAGCAGTCTTGGCGTTTAAGGTTCTGGTTTGTGCAGGGGAATCGCTAACCTTGTCATCTCAGTTTCCTCGTCGTAGAAGGGGCTTGCTTCTGACTCCCACCCTGGCTCTGACATTCCGAGACAGAGGATCTGAAATTGGGAGACTTGGCTTGGAGCCTGTCGTCCTGGGTTTGGGAAACCAAATGAGGCAGTGGGGGGAGGGGGAGCATTTGAACCTAGAAATTGGCAGCATGGTAAGACCCGGGCTCAAGAGATACATAAACAAACACATAAACATCCGCCTGGCCTAGTGACAAAAGCCTCGCCATTTCTTGGGAGACTGAGACAGGAGGGTCATGACTGAGAGGCTTGCCTGGAATGTAGTGAGTTCAAGGACAGGCCAGGCAACTTATTCAGACCCTGTCTCAAAATGACAAGTGTGGAGAGTGTTAAGGATGTAGCTCAGTGGCAGAGAACTTGCCTAGCCTGCACAGGGGCCTGGCTTCTAGTCCTGGCACTGCTCCTCGTGAACGTGACAGGGCACCAGAGTGTGGTAATGGTTGTTGTTATTTTGTTTGTTTTGTTTTTTTGGGACCGGGTTTCTTTGTGTACTGGCTGTCCTGGACTCACTTTGTAGACCAGGCTGGCCTCGGACTCACAGAGACCCACCTGCCTCTGCCTCCCAAGCACTGGTATTACAGGCGTGCACCACCATTGCCTGGCCAGAGTGTGTTTTTATAAACAGCTAACATGAACTGAGCACACAGGCAGGCTCTGCGGTTCGGAGCTATTCCGTGTGGGCGGAGGAATAGGTGTTACAGAGAACTGCTCCAGGCTGATAGCATCAAGAAAGAGAACAAGGCTCACATTCCCCTAAGGCCCTTCCCTGCTTCCCTAATCCCTCCACTCCCCACGATTCTGAGTAATTTCTCCTTTAGCCTTCCCAGGAAGCTGGGTATCCACGGTGGATATGAAGCAGGGCTGGGATTCTGCAGCCACATTCCTGTTCCCTTTGCCAGGCCCCCTGCCGTAATCTCAGACATGTGTTAGGATTGTGATGGGCTGGGGCTCGAGCCCGGGGCCTGTACATACTAAACAAATACTGTATTGCTGAGTTATGCCTCCAGCCCTAAGCTTTAGTGATGATGGTGTTGTTTAGGGTGTGCATGTGTGTCCGTGTGTAGCTCTGCATATACATGCCTGTGTGTGCAGAGACCAGCACATCAGGTGTCTTCCTTTATTGCCCTCTGAGTTATTACCTTGAGACGGAATCACTGGCTCTGAAACTTGCTATCATTTGGCTAGACTGGCTGGCCTGTAAGCTCTCAGGACCCACTTGCCTCCCAGCCATGCTAGCTTTTACATGGATGCTGGAAGATTGGGACTCAGGTCCTCCTACTTGCAGGACAAGCAGTCTGTTGTTGTTGTTGTTGTTCTGTTTTGTTTTGTTTTGTTTTTGTCTTTTTTGAGACAGGGTTTTTCTACGTAGCCTTAGCTGTCCTGGACTCGCTTTGTAGACCAGGCTGGCCTTGAACTCATGGAGATCCCCCTGCCTCGCCGAGTGCTGGGATTACAGGCGCTGTGCCTGGCCCATTTGTGCCTTTTTACAGCAAGGTGTATTTTTGTGTTTTGGTAGACACTGAGGTGTGCGTACTTGCATCTACCACAAGAAGCTTCTTAACCAAGATTCTTAAGAATCTTCCCAGGCCTTGCTGTTTTGTTTCGGGATCTTGCTCTGTAGTCTCAAAGGATGCCTCTGCCCTCCGAGGGCCAGAATTAGAACTGCAAGCCACCATCCTTGCCCTGAAACTTTTGTCCTAGATTGAGATCTTGAGTTTGGCCTTTAGTCCACTCTGAACTAATTTTGGGAAACCGCATAAGGACCGAACTTCATTCCATTCCACTCTCCTTTGGGGGTGGGAGTGGCAATGCTTAAAAAAATGCTTATTTTATTTTTCATTACTTATTTGTGTGTGGGTATGCGCATACAGATACCAGTGCCCACCGAGGCCAGGGGAAGGCATCATCTCTGGGATCAGGAGCTGCCCGTTGTGAGCTGCCAGGGGTAGACGCTGTGAGCCAAGCTCAGGTCCTCTGCGAGAACAGCGCACTGAGCCACCCACCTCTTCAGCCCAGGAGGATGCCTGTTATAGATAGGAGCTGTCGGGGTGTTGTGTGCTGATGTGACGATGTTAGGAGAGTCGGGGAAGCCAGAAATGCAGGAACGAGGAAATGGCTTCAAAACCAGTCCTTGAAGGTAGCAAGGTGGGCTGGGTACAGGAGCTGAGGGTAGGTTCTTAGGAACATGTCACTGCGCCCAGGGGAGGGGAGAAGGAGAGAGTGGGAGATGAGGTTCCTGTGACAGGTTCCTGGAGAGATAGGGTGTCCCCAGGCCATTGAGTGGAAGAGATGGAGGAGGGGCCAGGCATCCAGAGAGCAGGAAGACCCCCCCCCCCCCGCCGCCGTGTGCTCAGGGCCAGCCATGACCCTTGTCTATTTGTCTCCAAAACTAGTACTGATGCCCCAGCCGGTCCCGCCACCGCCACCGCCAGCACCATCCCTCGTCCCCTTGGAAGCCACTGACAACATGCTGGAGCTGACGCACCCCCTTCTGCAACAGACTGAGGACCAGTTCCTGTCCCCAATCCTGACAGCCAGCTCCCCTCTGATCAGCTTCTCCCCGCCCCTGGACCAGGACGAGTACTTGTGGGGCATGGATGAGGGTGAGGGCATCAGTGACCTCTTCGACTCCTATGACCTTGGGGACCTGTTGATTAACTGAAGAGTCCTGCCTCTGTCTCTACCTCCCGACAGACAGACTGACAGGCTCTCTCCCCAGACACGGGGGATGCTGGACGCCAGGTGTCACCCTCCGTGTGCGAGTGGCTCCGTTCCAGCCTTCCTTCAGGTGGAGGCCAGCCAGGGGGATATGGGTGAGGAGTGTATCAGGGGCTGGGCCCTGATCCTCCTCTTGTAACCTCTGACCCCTTCACGAAGGACCACAGGTACAAGCGACCACATTCAGGGAAAGGGTCTGCTGTCTCCTTCTGAGGGCAGTTGGTCCCTGGCTTTCTCCAGAAGCACTTAACGCCTTTGTATTTATTTCAGGTTGAGTTATGTTTGTTTGTCCGCCCTGAGTTTTAGCAGGGAGATTTGTTCCTGTTTCTCCTCAGACCGGCCCACCCATACCCACTGCCTACGGGCACACCTGGGCTTCCCGGGGCCCGTGCCAACTCCTTGGTCGTTCTCCGGCCCCACAGTGGTGCCTGGGTCTTGAGGAGACTATCCAGTTTGCTTGAATATTAATTGCACTTAGGCCTTGTAATTCTAGAAAGTGCCAGGCCCAGCCAAGGGCATCAGCCATCCTAGAGAGGTTCCAGTAGCTATCCCAGAGGAGGTAGCCAAGGAGGCTTGATTCCTATTGGATCCCTTATTCTTTTTTATTTTTTATTTTTTGGATCTCTTATCTTGCCTGAGCCTCAGAATGTACATACAGGCCTTCAAGGGTTAACCCGGAAGAGCTCCCAGGAAAAAGCAGGAGGCACGTGTCGTGGCTCCTGGAGCCTCTGCCTTGGAGCTTCTGGGGTGTCTTCCTAGTCCTGGTCAGAGACCTGGGCGGTAGAGGCTGAGACAAGTGTGAGAAGAAAACCGACATCCTGTGGGCTGCCCACACTAGCCTGGGAGGATTATTTTGTTTCTTGGTCACAGTTGTTGAGGGGGCGGGAAGATTGCTTAGGTACTCCAAGCCTTCCTAAGCCCTCACTCCATTTCTAAGGACTAAGAAGTGACTGGAGCCTGGGAGCAGGTTTGCACCCGATCCCTCCTCCTGGGAGTGCTGGGGGGTGACAGGATGGGGGTGGGCTTCTTCACTGCAGACTAGGCCTCAGCAGCTCATGAGGAGACAGCCGGTGCCTGCCACCTCTCCTGGTGTGGGGACACTCGAAGCACCGTGGGCTTCACTTCTTTTTCCATAGACCGACCATCCAGGGTTCCAGGGGTCAGATGGCGAGAGGGGCCCTGCTTTTCTCTCTTGACCATCCTGAGACAGAGAATGGCAGAACTAAGGCCATGTGTTCTGTAGAGGTGCACCCAGGGGTGAGGGGGCCTAAGAGGCCTTCCACCCACCCTCAGGGAGCTGGGGTTCCTCAGGGGCTCAGCAGGGCAGCACTTTTGTTGTTGTTGTTGTGAGTTTGTAGCATTAAATTGATTTAAAAGGTGAAATTGGCTCTGCCAGGCAGCTCCGAGCTGGCTGACTGGCATTAAAAGTTTGGATGTTGAGCTCATCTGTACTGAAGCCCATTTGGGTTAATTTGTCTTATCCTTGGCTCAACTTCCTCCCTCCTCCCCCTGCCCTGAGTTAGTCCCCTCCAAGGAGTGGTCAGTGTCTCACTGCTGCCCCTCTTTGAAGTTTGTATACTTTGATACACATGTCCAACCTTTGACATATGTATTCTTGTCCTCCATAAAGTTCACACTCAAAAACTGCACAGTTAAGCTACCAAAAAAAAAAAAAAAAAAGCTCATGATGTCTTAAGTACGTTTACAATTTTGTGTTGGGCTGTGCTCATAGCTGTGGCCCATGCTGCAGGTTGGACATACCTGCTAAAGAGCTGTCTAGGGTTTCTTACCAAACACCAGGTCTTATCAGACCATCTGGAAACCCAGCATGCTCTCGACACAAGGTGACCCTCAAGCGATGAGGATGCTACCTGGGATCCAGTCTGATGCTCCCAAGGCCGCCCGAGGCCAGGGACGGCATTGCTGATCTCGGGTCACTCCCATTTAGCAATGTGCCAACTCGGAGAGCAGAGATGCCTGACCTCCCTGCCTTGGGCTCTGGGTGGAGAGCTGGGGTTAGGGGGAAGAGGGCTGTCATTCCTGTCTGGAGTGGGGCTATAATGCAGTTCAGATTCAGTCACCAAATGCCGGGCACAGGGATGGAGTCCTTCCGAGGAGATGCCTCCTGCTGTCCTGGCTGTCTCTTTTCAACCCTGCTTGGTCCAGGGGCTGGACCTCCCGGAGAAGCCCCAAGGAAACAAGCTCATGCCGCTTTCTTGCCAATGATACTTGAGACCCCCAAGTTCCTGAGAGTGCTTTAAAAGAATGGGGGGGTTCCCCATTTGGAACACTGTTTTTGAGTGGAATTTATTTAAGGCCCCATGGAAATGTTCATGCTAGGGGTGGGAAAGATGCCAGTTTCTTTCCGGGGTGAATGCTTTCTTCAGGGAGGTTTCCCAGCCCCACCAGCAGCCCCCAAGTCCTTTGTGTCCCCAGGGCCTTCATGTCCCCGGGGACCCCAGAGCACTTAGCAGAATTAAACTTGTAAATAGGCTTGGAAATGCACCATTGGCAGATACCAGGATGAGTCCCTTCTCTGTGGTGGTTTGGCCAGTTAGTGTGGCTGTGACGAGGGGAAGTTCTGGTAGTTTATAAACTATTTTAGGGGGTGTGACTTGGTTTCCCCTCCCTGTGTCTCCTCAGCCTCCCGTTCCACACAGGTTAGAGTTGTAGAGGGCTTGCTTTTGCCAGCAATGGGTGTTGTGTAGCTTTAGTGCCCCTGAAACCTTTGGGGCTGTTTAGAAGCAGTTTCTTGGTTTCTGTCCTTGTACCCAGAGACCCCACCTCACCTGGGTCCCCCCTCTTCTCCCACAAGGCTCTTCAGGGACCATAGCGGCCACAAGTCTGGCCAGCATCTGGCTCTGGAAGAGATGAAGTCTTTCGGATGTGTTCTGTTTTGAGGATGCCTTGGGGTGTGGGGGTCTGGGGTCCCTGAGTTGGGGCTTCGTGTGGGTCACCTACCTCCTGGTTTCACCCAAAGTCCTGCCTTGAACACCAGCGAGTTTCCTTCTGCTGTGATAATTGGGCATTAAACAGTGGCGGCTCTGGGAAGCTTTGTCTTGGTGTGATTTCTTTTTGCAGAACCAGGGAATCCTTCCCACCCCCCAGGACCTCATACATGGTAAACACATGCCCAACCACTGAACTATACCTGTTGTGCTTCCTGAGTGACAGGTCTTACCCACTGAGGGGCTGGGGGTGAGGAGCTTATCTGCCCTGCTGATGTGACCGCCCTGGTGTCATCCTTTCCCTGCATTGTTCCCATGTCTGGAGTTAGCGGTGCCAAGCTCTGCAGTGTGAGCCCCTTGCCTTCCTAATAGCCTCCCTGTTTCTAACAGTCACGCTCCAGTCTACATCTCAGCAGCGTCCCCAGATCAGAGGGGTCGCCATTGTATACATGCGTGCAGATACACAGAGCCCAACAGGCCTCCCAAAGCCTCCTGTGCCTCCCTGCCTGGGCACTGGGGTGCCATGCTTAGTGTTGTTTTTTCTGGGAACACAGGTGCTTACGCTTGTTTGTAAAGCACTCCTCCCCACAGAACCATCTCTAGCTCCAAGAATTAAAAAAAAAAAAAAAATTTGTTGTTGTTGGAAAGGATGGGACATCATAAAGTCAGGTGTGGTGGTGTATAGCACCCAACATTTGGGAGATGAAGGAGACAGGAGTTCAAGGCCAGCCTGAGCTACATGAGATATCTTTTAATTTTTTTAGATTTGGTATGTATACAATGTTCTGGCTGCACACCAGAAGAGGGCGCCAGATCTCATTATAGATGGTTGTAAGCCACCATGTGGTTGCTGGCAATTGAACTCAGGACCTCCGGGAGAGCGGCCATTGCTCTCCATCTCCAAGCTCTGAGCCATCTCTCCAGTCCACATGAGATAGCTTTAAAAACAAAACAAAAAAGCAAAATTAAACAAACAAACCAGGACTTCATCAGTGATGTGAAAAGACATCTTTTAGAATGGGAGAAAATATTTGTAAATTATATATTAGAGACTTTATTCAGAAAAGAAAATGAACTCAGGGCTGGAGAGGTGGCTCAGAGGTTAAGAGCCCTGGCTGTTCTTGCAGAGGACACAGGTTCAATGCCCAGCACCGACAGGACCTTCTGACTTTCCCGGGTATACCTGCTGCCCATGGATACATGCAGACAAAACAGTCAGACATATAAAATAATATTTTCAAAAGATATTTTGCCTACATGTATGTCTGTGTATCACATGCAGGCAGAGCCCACCCAGGTCAGAAGAGGGCATTGGATCCCCTAGAACTGGAGTTAAAGACGGCCGTGAGCTGCCATGTGGGAATTGAACCCGGGTCCTCTGGAAGAGTAGCCAGTGCTCTTAACCGCTGAGCCATCTCTCCAGCCCCCACATAACATAATCTTAAGAAGATGAACTCCTGTAACTTTAATAAAGACAGCGTAGAGCTGTACGCAGCAGTACACACTTTTAATCCCATCATTCAAGAAGCAGAGTGAGTCTGAAACTAGGCTGATCTTCAAGGGGAGTTCCGGGCCAGCAAAGCTACACAGTGAGACCCTGTCTCAAAAAGCCAACCAAAAATGAATAAAATAAGAATAAACAAGCCGAGCGTGGTGGTGGTGTCGAACACTTTTAATCCCCGCACTCAGGAGGCAGAGGCAGGCAGATCTCTGTGGGGCCAGTGAGTTCCAGGACAACCGGAGCTACACAGTGAAACTCTGCCTCAAACAAAACAAGTATCTTAAATGTCTGTTTGTCAAGGAAAGTATAGATGTTTTAGAGGCCAATATATGGGCATGACAAAACATGCCTAAGACAACCCCTGCCCACTGCCACAGGGCAAGGGAAGGGTGGAAAATACACAGAGGCCTGGATGCCACTGAGATGAGGGAGCAAAAAGTAGAGCGATGGGGATGGGGTTCGCAGTGATAAGAGGTGGGGCTGGAGAGTCAAGGGTGTTGAGGGACAGCCTGGTTGCTACTGGGTTGCCACTGCAGCCATGGTAAGGTCCTGGCCACTTCTGTGTCCATGGTGTGTGTGTGTGTGTGTGTGTATGTTAGTGTCTGTGGCCCATGTTACCACCAGAGGCCAAGGGGAAGTCCCTGGCTTGGGCTGCTGCCTAGGGCTGTGCTCATGTCTGAGGGCAGCATGGTAGAGCTGGCCCTGGTGGCATGGGTGATGGAGAGCTGGCCTTGTGATGGCGTGGGTTGGAGGGCGTGAGTGCCAGGGAGCTGGCAGGCTGACCAACTCAGCTACCACCTAAGCTCAGACCCAAGGCTTTGAGTTGGCCCACCCCAACATCTACCCCGTCTATGAACTATGGGAGCCCTTGAAGGGTCTGTTCTGCAGAACCAAAGCTGCAGGATCTCCATGACACAGGACAACAATAGGTTCGCCAAGAGGAGTCTCGGTGGCGATCCAGTATTGATGGTGTAGTAGAAGCCAGAGGCGTCAGACCAGACCAATGACTCACGGCGGGGAGCGTCTGCCGGTAAAGATGTGTGGACAAAAGGGTGCCCTGTGGGACACACTGTGGCATACTGCAACTCCCAAGTCGAGGTTTGCAGGGGTGGGGGAGTGGCAAGGGCAGAGGGCGGATATGGAGGCAGAAGGAGATGAGTGGAGTCGAGGGTCATGATGTGAAATTCACAAAGAATCAATGAAAAGGTCTTTTTGTTGTTTGTGTGTTTTTAGAGACAGGGTTTCTCCTGTAAACACAGAGACAGGGTTCCTGGCTCTCCTGGAACTTTTTCTGTAGACCAGGCTGGCCTTGAACTCACAGAGATCTGCCTGCCTCAGCCTTCCAAGTCCTGGGATTAAAGGCATGTGCCAACCACTAGCTGGCTCAATAAAGTTTTTTTTTGTTTGTTTGTTTGGTTTTTTTTTTTTTTTTTTTTTTGTTTTTTAGGCCAATATATAAATTAAAAAAATGTAATGCCATTAGCCATCAGGGAAATGCAAATTAAAGCTATAAGGCATCTCGTCACTTTCACTTACGAAACAACTTCACGTGACAAAGAATGTGTGCTGTGAAGGGAGCGGAGGACTTGGGAGTCCCCGGCTCACCAACGGTTTATGAAATTGAGCAGCCAGCCACTTTAGGAAAAAGATAGTTCTTCACAGTTAAGCACAGAACTGCCACTCAGTCCAATAACTGGATGGAGGCCTACGACACCGAGGGAGGTAACTACACCAAACACACATAAATGTCCATAGCATAACAGCTCTGATAACTGAAGAAGTGGAGCAGCTCGAGTGATTACAGCCGGCAGATACATGGATGCCCACATGGCAGAAAGGAGCTAGACACCGGTTACACAATGTCGTTTATATAACGTATCCAGAACGAGCAAGCCTATAGAGACAGAAAGCAAACTGATGGCTGAGCTCTGGAAGAGGGGGAAAGAGCGAGTGTTTGTGGGTACAGGGTGAGGGTGATAAAGGCCTCCTGGATTGGTGGAGATGGTTGCATAACTCTGGTAGGTAGTTCTGTCACTATAACACAAGCTGGAGTCACCTGAGATGAGAGGCCTCTGTCTGTCTATCTATCTATCTATCTATCTATCTATCTATCTATCTATCTATCTATCTATCTCTGTCTCTGAAATCGAACTCAGAGATCTGTCTGCCCCTGCCCCTGCTCCTGCCTCTGCCACCACCACTGCCACCTGGCTCGTGCCTAACTTTCCTAGTATCTTGAAAGCCCCCGAACTGCACGCCTGAAGTAGGTGTGAACGGTGTACAGCCCATCAAAGAAGATACGTGAAAAACTACGGGTTAGTTTTTTTTTTTTTTTAAACATAGGGACAAAATCCTAAATAAAAACTAACCAACTAAATATGGCCCTTCAAAATAAAAAGAAGCCACAGGCAAGTAGGATTGAGACAGGGGTGCAAAGACTTCATCAGCATGTTTACTGGAAAACCCCAAGCCTTCCTTAAGGAAGGAGAGCATGGGTGCATGCACTGGGCTGGGGTATCGCGCTGTGGTAGGGCCTGTGCTAGTACAGGACCCTGGGATCTATGGCCTGCACCTTCCTCCCATGACAAAAGAAGACAAGATAAAAAAAAAAAAAAAAAAAAAAAAAAGCCTGCTTGCCCAAGGCCTGTGAAATTAACCCCTTTGCTCTTTTGAACAAGGGTCATTCATTTATCAGACATTTATGGATGGAGCATCTGTGCGGAGCCAAGGGTGGGGTCAGAAGCCTCCTTCCTGGTCCACGAAGTGCACCTGCGTTCGGCCCTTACTTCCTCTTTGCAGGGATGGCCACAGCCTGGCTCCCAGAGGCTGAGTAAGGTGGCACATGCCTGTAATCCCAGCACTTGGAAGGTGGAAGGAGGAAGGGAGGTTAGGTGTTCAAGGGTGGCCAGCAGCCATGGCTACGTCAGACCAATCTCAAACAAGAACTGGAAGGGATATTCACTCATTTGTTCTATGGACTCCCCCCACCCCCAGAACTGGGGCTCAAACCCAGGGTCTCACATGCTGGTCAAGGCATTTGAGCATTGACCCAAGCAACACCCCTCCCTCCCCCCCCCCCCCGTGTTTTCAGGCTTGCTAAAATTGCACATGCTGGCTTTGAACCGGCAATCCTCCTGCCTCAGGTTGCACAGTAGCTAGGATCACAGGTGTGTACCACCGCACCTGGTTCACAAACATTTTCTTCACACCTACAATGCCCCTGCGTTTGTTAGGTGCTGGGTGGGGAAAACCGTAGTGCCTCCTTAGTGGTGTTTACAGCCAGTTCTAATTCAAACCACACAGTTTATAGATCGCCATGTTCATTTCGGTCACAATAGACAGATTCTATAAGGGGTGACATCTGAATGGAGGGGTTTTGGGCAACAGCAAAAGGCTTCTGAATGCATGATGACTAAAAACAAATTTAAAACCAAATGTACAAAAAAAAAAATCTGAGGTCGATGTTCCTGGGCAAGCCCGCTGGTGATGCATTGTGGGATTTCTCGGCCGCGGTGGTTCTGAACGCACAGCATTCACACTCTGCTCGGTGCGCGCTCTTGTGGCATGCGTGACAACTCTGACTGACCCGTCTCGCT